AAGTCGAGAACAACGTCCAGTATTGGGCCCCTACTTAAACAAGATGGGTCCTACACAGATGACAGCAAGGAAATGAGTGAGCTACTCGGCTACAGTGATAAGCTCTGTTCCACAAGGCACAGTACTCGCTCCCATCTTGTTTCTCATCCTCATATCTGACATAGACAAGGATGTCAGCCACAGCACCGTGTCTTCTTTTGCAGATGACACCCGAATCTGCATGACAGTGTCTTCCATTGCAGACACTGCAAGGCTCCAGGCGGACATCAACCAAATCTTTCAATGGGCTGCAGAAAACAATATGAAGTTCAACGATGAGAAATTTCAATTACTCCGATATGGTAAACACGAGGAAATTAAATCTTCATCAGAGTACAAAACAAATTCTGGCCAAAAAATAGAGCGAGAAACCAACGTCAAAGACCTGGGAGTGATCATGTCGGAGGATCTCACCTTCAAGGACCATAACATTGTATCAATCGCATCTGCTAGAAAAATGACAGGATGGATAATGAGAACCTTCAAAACTAGGGATGCCAAGCCCATGATGACACTCTTCAGGTCGCTTGTTCTATCTAGGCTGGAATATTGCTGCACACTAACAGCACCTTTAAGGCAGGTGAAATTAATGACCTAGAAAATGTACAGAGAACCTTCACGGCGCGCATAACAGAGATAAAACACCTCAATTACTGGGAGCGCTTGAAGTTCCTGAACCTGTATTCCCTGGAATGCAGGCGGGAGAGATACATGATTATATACACCTAGAAAATCCTAGAGGGACTAGTACCGAACTTGCACACGAAAATCACTCACAACGAAAGCAAAAGACTCGGCAGACGATGCAACATCCCCCCAATGAAAAGCAGGGGTGTCACTAGCACGTTAAGAGACCATACAATAAGTGTCAGGGGCCCGAGACTGTTCAACTGCCTCCCAGCATACATAAGGGGGATTACCAATAGACCCCTGGCAGTCTTCAAGCAGGCACTGGACAAGCACTTAAAGATGGTACCTAACCAGCCGGGCTGTGGCTCCTACATTGGATTGCGTGCAGCCTGGTTGATCAGGCTCTGATCCACCAGGAGGCCTGGTCACAGACCGGGCCGCGGGGGTGTTGACCCCCGGAACTCTCTCCAGGTAAACTCCAGATGAATCTAAGTTCAGCTGTGTAGTAGCACTGGATATTGCTGGTTCTATTGACAGAGGATGGCACCAAGGGTTCTTGGCAAAATTGCAACACTGGGAGTTGCCGGCTCTGCCCTATGCATCTGTAGTGATTATCTTCAAGGTAGATCTCTGAGCGTAGTTCTCAATGGGACAGATTCAGCAAAACACTACTGGAGCAAGCGTGCCACGGTAAAGTGCGCTTGGGCCATTGTTATGGAATATCTACTTCAATGACCTATTCATCTTATCCTAGAATCCCAAGCATTTGCAGACAACTGTACTCTGAACATTTACTTATCCAAGAGAGGAAATGCTAGCCGCTGTAAGTTACATCAATCACCAGCTAAGAGCTATTATCAGCCTGGTTAAAACGATGGCAGGTCTCATTTGCTCCTGAGAAAACACAAATTATGATGGTATGGTCTCTAGTCACCATGATGGGAATGCTGGAGCAGTGCTAAGACTGAACGGGAGTGTTGGTACCAGGGGAGAAAGTTGATATCCTTGGGGTGAAATTTGACTCCAAACTGCAAACAAAGCGGCTAGGAATCTTACAAAACTTTTCTGTATCTCGCATCTCATTAACAGTAGAGGTTACAAGATTCTGTGTGAGGCACAAGTGCGATCACACCTTGAGTATGCTCCGCTTAGTTCGATTGTCTGAACTTCGTCTCATATATGACTTCTTGACAGAAAGAGAACAGAGCAAGACGGCTTAACTATTACTTCAGCACAGCCTTCAACACCGGAGGGATGTGGGCAGCCTTACTGTTACGATGTTAATACTGCCAAAGTACCTCACTTGGTTCCACTCCGAGGAGAGCAAGAAGTGAGCTTCTACTCAACAAGATGGGCAGCAAACAACTATGCCCTGACTGCATCCTTCTCCAGAACATCGCTTCATGTGAGGTCATTTATTTCTAGGGTGGCGAGTGTCAGGAATATATATAGCATAATATATATAGCATAATAACAGTAACGAAATAGTCAGCTGGCCAAGTGAAATTACTGGCCCTCAGATGGCTCCACCTTCCTCATGTTCCCTGTTTCATAATAAAACAGCTTTCAAATGAGCTGACGTAGGTAACAGCTCTTAGTGTAAATAAAGTTAGAGACTTTAACCTAACCTTGTAAAACCCTGTGTTATGAGAGAGAGCAAGTGTGGCATGTTATGAGTATGTTACATTTTATTCGGAGTATGTCACACTCCCACATAGGCTGCTTCCCAACCAGCGAACCAGGTGCTAAGGGTTTAACGATCAGTAGGGTACCCATCGTTAAATCAGTACCTTGGTTCATTGGCCAATCACAGGAAAATCTAAGATATATACTATTGTTGAGTATTATTTTCTCCACTTTGAATCCCATTACGACCAGGTCGCAGGCCATACTTTACCTGGGTTTGTAGCAGAAGTATATATATATATATATATATAATATTATATATATATATATATATATATATATATATATATATAATATATATATATATATATATATATATATATGTCGTGCCGAATATGTAAAACTGGTCAATTAGCAAGAGCTCATTTAAAATTAAGTCCTTTCAAAAATTTTCTCTTATACGTTTAAAGATATATTTTTTCAATAATGTTAATGTAAAAAATTTTTAATTTTGCAACAAAAGAATCTTAGAAAACTTACCTAACCTTATTATGACAAGAACAATTTATTTTAGCCTAACCCAACTAAATTTTTTTAAATTGAAAAAAAATATAAAAAAAAAGTTGAATTATTTTTTCTTGGGTCAATGAGGCGAATTATGCTACAATTTTTCCTGTCTTTGGCAAAGATGACGTGCAATTAACCAAGTTAATTTTATGAAATTTATATTAATAATAATAAAAAAAAAAAAAAAAAAAAAAATAAATATATATGTCGTGCCGAATATGTATAAATGGTCAGTTAGCATGAACTCATTTATAAATTAAGTTTCTTACTAAAATTTTTTTATACGTTTAATGATATAATTTTTTACATGAATGTTTGAATTTTTTTTAATTTTGCATTTCCAAAGATCTTATATATATATATATATATATATATATATATATATATATATATATATAATATTATATATATATATATATTATATATATATATATATATAATTATATATATATATTTTATATATTACATTACATAAAACAATCATCAATAATTAAAAGACTGACCTGAAATATTTATCTTAATAACAACACACACACGTAGCATCAGCACATTCTGTCGTATCTTTGCTTGCAGTTTCAGTTGACGAGCAAGCAGCTCTGCACACACCTGTATTGGTGCCGTTAGTGCACGTTTGCTGCAGAATAGGGCATGCTGTGGAAGATAACAAATATAGAGGATATTGCAGAAAAGTCAAACACAAAATAAGTTTGATCATTTCCAGCCCACCAGTGTCGTATCAAGTAATTTTTATCTCTTCCCTTTTTTTAAGTCAAAGTCACTTTAAGCCAGAGTGTTATCCACCCACACCTGTGTTACCAAGGTCACTGCAAGCAAAGTGTTATCTAACTACACATGTGTCATCAAGGTAATTGGAAGACAATGTTATCTACTGACGCATGTGGTGTCAAGGTCACTGCAAATAATATAGAAGTTGTCAGGGATTATATACCACATTGTTATGTGCCCCTATATGTCATGTGATGGATATTGACTTATAAACTCGTAAAAAATACCTTGGCATTATTCACATATATGCATTTTCCCCTATTACGATTTCGAAGTGTCGGATCACAGTGAAACCCGGTGTCGCACTAAGATTAATTCTTCTTTGTCCTGGAACCTTGTTTATCCAAATGTACTTGGAAAATGAAAAATATAGGTTCTTAAATGCAAAGTTGCAATTAACGTAAGGTGAACTTTAGTGAAGTCAAGTGAGCTGAACTGTTGTGAAATCACCAGGTAAAGTTATGGAGCTAAAAGCATATTTTTAGAAATTCCCTGTTTTTTTTTTTTCCAATGATTTTCTTTGATGAACCCATGATGGAAACATTGTGTTTGTTTCCTCACACCAGCTGTCCCTGTTTCTCCAGCAGCAAGTAGGTACCTGGATGTTTGCCGACTGGAGTGGGTCGCATCCTGGGAGGTGGTACTATACCTCAGATAGGTGCTGGGACTTTGATATGAGCTGAGGTAGGATAACAGCTCTTAGCCTGTAAAATTGATTTATGTATAAATGAACAGTTCAGCCCACCTGACCTCACTGAAGTTCAGTATACTTATCCTGTACCTTTTTCCTACATAAACCCATGTTTCTCATGCCACAGTTATGTCTAGAGTAAACAATGTCCCAGAACTCAAATAAAAAGCGCTAAAAGTGTTCACTCACGCGTCGTTAAGCACATCCAAAGTCTTACAGAAACTATTTCAGAATACCAATATGCCAGTCAGGTAGCCGATTTCAATAACCAATTACTATGGAGATAAATATGCAAAGGCGATGGTATCGTGAATCAGTCTTCAGAAGTATTTCGAACAATTTCATTTAAAATTAAAGCCAGATAACTTCTGAAACGTTAAGCAGATGATATGAGCTGACACACAACTCACTTCTAACCTCATGTCGGGCACTGCTAAACTGTTTATTCATCCACTCTTTAGTTTCAGTTTATCTCACTGTAACCTAATTAGGTCCTTTATTGGGTGAAATGTCGTCAAGAATACTCCATGAAAATTAATTTGTTTCTTCTTTATCAGGCAATGACACTGATACTTATTATGACAACAAGAGAAAAGGAAGAATTGCTGTTACAACTTGTGGAAATAGTAACATTACACAACATTAACACTACTTACAATCACAGCTCGTGCATCCTGTGATACTAAGACAATTCGCGTTGTCGCTTGTTTGGTAAGTGGTATTGCACAGTCGACTGTCAATGCAAATGGCAGGATCCGCAAGAGAAACGTTGCAGGTAACCAGACTTGAGGTGCAACACACACAACCGTGGTTCACGCAGCCACTCACTACACGCTCCGAGGGAAGGCAAGACAGTCTGCATCTTCCATAGCCGTTGTCACAGAACTTTCCTCGCTACATGCTGATAAGAAATACATTTATGACATAAGACAACAGAATCTATGGTCACTACATTCTGATCAAGTACACTTGTATAACATGTGATCATCAACCCTCGTCAACTTGCCTTGATGATTAACAATACAAGAATAGCGACAGACAACTGAATATAAGTTATGTATTGCTAGAAACTGGTTTACCGCTTCTTTTTGATAATCATGATGATGATGAATAATAAAATAATAATAATAATAATAATAATAATAATAATAATAATAATAATAATAATAATAATATTGCTGGACACTGTACAATTTATATACGAATTTTGTCAACTTATGAAAAGTAAATTTTACAAACACACACACACACACACACACACACACACACACACACACACACACACACACACACAGGAACCTGGGAGGGAAGACTGGGAGGTAGAGCTCACAAAAATGGAGGAAGAGTGGGGAAGGAATTTAGCTGAGCTCGGCAGGGTATTGGAGGAGATGATAGCCGAAGAGAGTAGGAAGTGGGGACTACAAGTCCCTTAGAAGAGGAGCTAAAAAACCTGAAACAGAATAGAGAGACAAATGACAGTACAGGAATGACATCAGGGACCTCTATACCAGTCACAGACGAGGGGGCTGTAGGGACTCAGGAAAAGATGAGCACAGGAAGACCAATCGTGAAGCCTGCAGTCAATGCAGGAGACAATACCTATGCAGAGACTAACAGTCAACTACAGTGGCAGGGAACAGGTGAGCAGGGAAGACAGTCCACTGAGCATAGGGGCTGCAGCAAGGGCAGGGGTTGAAGGCAGGAACGTCTCGATGGAAGGAGATACAACACCTCAGAGGATGCAAAGAGAGACACAGTGGGAGGAGGAGAGGGGGAGGGGTATGTTTGTCTAGGGGGCTCCAAGAAGTTGAAGGGGAAACCTATGATGAAAGAATCCAGGGGGAAAAGAAAGCGATCGAAGGTATCTTGAAAGCAATAGGAGAGGGAGACATGACCTAGGTGGCAAATTTTCGGAGGATTGGTTGGTTTGCACGCAGAAGGAGACGACCTGTCAAAGTAATCTTCAAGGCAGAAACAGCTCGAATCAGGATCCTGCAGGGGAAAACACGACTAAGGGACAATTCAGAGTACTGGAGCATGTACCTCTATCACGACAGAACACAGGAGGATAGGACGAGACAGAGAGAGGGTACAAAAACGAAAGGAGGAATGGGAGGCATCGATGAGGACGAGCAGAACCCAGACTCAGGTGGAAGGAGAAATACGCCCTACAGAGACACCCACAGAAGGACTCCAACCACAACAACCCCGAAGCAACTGAATAACTTCAACCAAAACCTGCACACTGTTCCCTCTACCACCACCCGCCCACCACAAACGCCACATCTACAGCAGCCCCTTTTGGGCACTCTGCCCCCACCCCCCCCACCACAAATCCCACTCACACTTGGACAATCCCAATGCAGCTGAACAATCTCAACCAACACCCACACACTTTCCCTCTGCCCCCACCCCCCCACATACAAACCCCACTGCCACAGCAGCTTCCTATGAGCACTCTGGCCCTCACCCCCCACCACAAATCCCACCCACACCACAAACCCCATATCCCCCCAGGGTTCCCGCCCCCCCCCAACCCCAATATTCCCCCAGGCCACCGTGAAAAGACAAGAAGCTGAAGGTGTGGTACACAAACACAGATGGAATAGCAATAAATATGAGGAATGGCACGAAAGAATCAACGAGAAGTCCCCGGACATCATAGCAGCCCACAAAAACAAACTCACTGAGACAATAACAGAGCATCTTCCCACCGGGATATCAGATCTTGAGAAAAATTTTAGAAGGAGCAGAGACGGAGGAGGGTTGCAATGCTCATAAAAAAACAATGGAGTTTAGGGGGAAATGGTGGGCATGGACGAATTGGAGAAAGGGACTACATAGCAGGCACAATCAATCTGGGAACATAAGGAGTCATTGCTGTGATGTATAACCTACCACAGAACTGCAGGGGGCCAAGAGAGGAATATGTTTGAAACAAACAGAGCGATGGGGGACACACTGGCTGAGGGGGCACGAAGAGCTCAAACGTGCAGAGCAAATTTACGGTTTTATGGGATTTCAACCACAGGGAGATTGACTGGGAAAACCTGGAGCCTCATGGGGCCCCAAAAACATGGAGAGCCAAGATGATGGATGTGGTACGGAAAAAACCTCATGCATCAACACATCAGGGACACTACCAGAGAGCGAGGGAGGATGAACCAACAGACTGGACCTTGTGTTCACCCAGGACACTCAGACATTGACGACACACATATGAGAGGCCCCTCGGGAAATAGTGACCACGTATCCTGAGTTTGATTACATAGTAAGTTACAGGGGGAGAGGGTAACAGGAGCCGAATGGGAAAAGCCAAACTATAAAAGGGAGGACTACACAGGGATGAGGAACTTCCTGTGGGAAAGGTGCAGTAGGACAGAGAAATGGTAGGAAAGACAGTAAATGAAATGATGGAGTATGTAACAACAAAATGCAAGGAGGCATAGGAAAGGCTTGTTCCCAAGGGAAACAGAAACAATGGGAAGACCAAAGCGAGTCCTTGGTTTACCCAAAGGTGCAGGGAGACAAAAACTAAGTGCATTTGAAATGGAAGAGGTAAGAATGCAAAGGACCCAGGAAAACAAGGGGATCAGTCGAAAGAGCCAGAAACGAATACACAGATAAGGAGGGAGGGAGAGCGACAGTACGAAAATGACATAGCATCAAAAGCCAAGTCTGACCCGAAACTGCTGTTTAGCCACATTAGGGAGAAAGACGACAGTCAAAGACCAGGTGACAGGCTGAGGAAAGAAGGGGGGGAACTCACAGAAACGACAAGAGGGATGCGAGGAGCTAAACAGAGATTTAAGGAAGTATTCACAGTGGAGACAGGAAAGGGACTCGGGGAAGACAGGACAAGGGGGACACCAACGGAAATAGCCCCAAGGGGGCGGGACGTATGCACACAACTGAGGAGGAGGTGAAGAACGTAAGTGCCCTTTTCATACCCAAAGGAAAGGGGACGGAAAACATTTTTCCCGGGGGTCCTCAGGGAGGGAGCGATATACTGGGTCCATTAAGCACAATCTCAACACATCCTTGAAACTGGGCAACTACCTGAGGTATGGAAGCCCGGGCCCCTTTTTTTAAAAAAGGAACAAAAAAGAGGGCCCTAAATTTAGCCCAGGCACTACTGTATGTAGCAAAGCCATGGAGTTATCAGGGAGTGGTGAGCACCTGGAACGGAAAAAGATTAAAACGATAACCACAGGGGTTCAGGGAAAGGGCAAATCCTTGTCACAAACCTTCGGATTCTAGACAAAGTTGGAAAGAAGACAATAGAGAAGGGGGGGTTTATTCTTTTTCTTGGACTGCAAGAAGTTTCGACACAGTTCCCAAAGCACAGTCAGAAAAAAGGTCAGGGCATAAACAGGGAAAGGGGATGCAATGGATCAGAGAAATCTGACAGGGGGGCAACAAAGAATCGTGGGACGGGGTAGGTACACAGCGGCCCCTTTACGGCAGGGCCCCCCAGGGGGCGGGCCAGGGCCATGCTTTTTTGAAAAATGTGAAGGGGAAAGATTGGGGGGATAGACTCAAGGGGTCCCTGTTTGCAGATGAGTGAAGTTAATGAGGGGGGAATTAAAAACAATGAGGACCAGCAGGGCTTCAAAAACCTGGACAGTCTGGACACATGGTCCAGCAAATGGCTTCAATTCAATCCGCAAAAAACAAAGTCATGAAGATCGGGGAAGGGGAAAGGGGAAAGCGAGTATAGATAGGTGGCCAAGAACTGCAAACCTTGCTCAAGGAGAAAGTTTCTTGGGGTGACCGAAAACACTGAGCATGTCTCTGGAGGCACATTTCAAGCAGATAACTGCTGCGAGCTACAGGCACCTGGCAAACCTGACAATAGCGTTCTGATACCTTAGTAAGGAATCGTTCAAGACATTGTACATTGTGTACATCAGGTTCATACTGGAATATGCAGCACCAGTTTGGAACCCACACCTGGTCAAACAAGTCAAGAAATTAGAGAAAGTGCAAAGGTTTGCAACAAGGCTAGTTCCGGAGCTCAGGGGTATGTCCTACGAAGAAAGGTTGAGGGAAATCGGACTGACAACATTGGAGGACAGGTGGATCAGGGGAGACATGATAACGACATACAAAATACTGCATGGAATAGATAAGGTAGAGAGAGACAGGTTGTTCCAGAGAGGGGACACAGAAACAAGGGGTCACAATTGGAAGCTGAAGACTCAGACGAGTCACAGGGAGGGTTAGGAAGTATTTCTTCAGTCATAGAGTCGTCAGGAAGTGGAATAGCCTAGCAAGTGATGTAGTGGAGGCAGGAACAATACATACCTGGATTTTCCTGGAGAGAGTTTCGGGGGGTCAACGCCCCCGCGGCCCGGTCTGTGACCCGGCCTCCTGGTGGATCAGCGCCTGATCAACCAGGCTGTTGCTGCTGGCTGCACGCAAACCAACGTACGAGCCACAGCCGGCTGATCAGGAACTGACTTTAGGTGCTTGTCCCCGTGCCAGCTTGAAGACTGCCCGGGGTCTGTTGGTAATCCCCTTATGTGTGCTGGGAGGCAGTTGACAGTCTCGGGCCCTGACACTTATTGTATGGTCTCTTAACGTGCTAGTGACACCCTGCTTTTCATTGGGGGGATGGTGCATCGTCTGCCAAATCTTTTGCTTTCGTATGGAGTGATTTTTTTGGGGTGCAAGTTTGGTACTAGTCCCTCTAGGATTTTCCTGGTGTATATAATCCCTGTTTTCTCTCCCTCCTGCGTTCCAGGGAATACAGGTTTAGAAACCTCAAGCGCTCCAGTAATTGAGGTGTTTTATCTCCGTTATGCGCGCCGTGAAAGTTCTCTGTACATTTTCTAGGTCGGCAATTTCACCTGCCTTGAAAGGTGCTGTTAGAGTGCAGCAATATTCCCAGCCTAGATA